CCATCAAAACACGACCGCGCCACCATCACATGATCGGGACACCATCAAAACATGACCGGGACACCGTCACAACACGACCGGGACACCATCAAAACATGCCCGGGACACCATCACAACATGACCGGGACACCATCACAACATGACCGGGACACCTTCAAAACATGACCGGGACACCATCACAATATGACCGGGACACCATCAAAACATGACCGGGACACCATCAAAACAGGACCGGGACACCATCACAACATGACTGGGTCACAATCAAAACATGATCGGGACGCCATCAAAACATGACCGGGACACCATCCGCCCACCAGCTCTGACGGTGACCCGACGGCGCCCGTCCGCCTATTAGTTTTGCAAGACCCCATAGCATGGCTATTGGGGAATAATTAAATCAATATTATATTTATATATTCTATTAATAAATAATATTATTCAAATATATAATGTTTTTAGTATCTATATATTAAAACTTAAGAGGCGGGAGACACGAAAGGTAGGACAGCGGGAAGAGAAGAGAACGCGAGAAGCAGGAACAAAAATGCAATGTTCGACATGGTGATTTATCCCCTCGGAGGCGACCTTTCGTAAATCGTAAATATATGTTTATATGCACTCTAATTGTTCAAACATATACTCTGGAAATGTTCAACAAGATTTTTAGGAAAACAAACTTGCCCCATGGATCAGATCATCGGTGAGCATTGAATCGGAGCATCATAGGATTTAAACTATCCTAAAACCATAAGAGGCTCACGAAGACGCTCCCCAGGAGAGAATTGACGTGCTTCACAAAACAAACTCTAGGTATGTATCCCCTCGGGGAACACCTTTCGTAATTAAAATTTCATATGCACTCTTTCTAAATGTTCAAAAGGGTTTCAACTTTTCAACTATCCTGCAATCATGAGAGGCTCACGAAGACGTTCTCCAGGAAAGAATTGAATTTAGAGGGGGGGGGTCTGTATTGAAAAGGGGGAGGGGGGTCTGTATTGAAAAATCAATTCGAAGGGGGTGGGGGGGGGGTTTAAATTGAGTGATCAATTATTAGACCCGGACGTCCCAACACTTGCTTCGCAAGACAAACTCAAGGTATCCCCTAAAGGGCTACCTTTCGTGATATATTCGATTCATTTATCGTTATTTTATATTTAAGAAAGGAGGAGGTAAACGAAAGGTAGCAAACAATCACGAATAATCCTAATAAAAATCCATGACGACGTAAATTAGTGCAGGGGGGATTTAATCCAGGTGGGGGGGAGCCCCCCCAGATGAACAGAATCATTTCTTACAGGACCAAATTCAATGCACAATCCCAATTCCTAATTGTAATACATTTTTGCTAAAGCAAGGAGAACTCAAGAACTCAAGCTACCTTTCGTGATAGATCAAAATTACCATATATATATCGTAATTTAATGTATATTATTTTTTGAATTTAGCTCTTGTAATGAGAAATTGAGCCATAAGTGCTACTTTCCTGCGGGCAATCTAAGAACCAAATTTATCGTACGGATTGAAATTGAAAAGGCAGGACATGGCGCACCCCTCCACGATGTGCCGCGGAAATTGCTGAGGCATCCTGCCATTCCAGATTCACATCTCAACGCAATCAAATGCAAGGGGCATAAGAATCATGACATCGACATTGGATTCCTTTCGCAAGACCGGAACAGAAACGCTATTCAAAAGCAAACAGCTTGAGAACATGTTCACCAAGATATATAACAGATTGTAAGTGTCCTTCCGAGCACCTTCTTCTGTATAGTGCATGACTGTCCGAGTTGCTTTGTCCCCAACTCCACCAACTCGAACCTCCCCATAGTCAAAAATGCCTTTGATGGCAATCGCCAGCGCGGGAAGCGTCATAGAAGGGACCCAGCCCTTCTGCGTGAGTGGTTCGAAACATATTCCACCACGTTCAAATACGTAACCACCGCGGAGTTGAGGGTACAAAACTCGAGCAAATGGCGGTTCCATTGGAAAGCCATCAGGCAAAATTATTTCCAAATCAATGCACGCATCCAAGCCATGTTTCTTCAAATCAGCCGCCAGCTTCCCATCAGGATTCAAGTCTTTCAGCTGCACAAACCATTTGGACAAATTGTCCTTGTCCTTCAAGCTAAAGTTGTAGCCAGATCTTTGGGCCTCAGCAAGGCCTTCGGGACTAAGAAGTCGTCTTGCTTCCCCCATCGTCCTCTTGACAAACTTCATCGGTTTGCCATCGAGTTTGACGAAGGACAAATCGACGTTCTCGCTCTGAGTGACACTTTGAGTGTCGCTCTTCACTTCGCTCTTTCCTTCGCTCTTTGTTTCGCTCTTCACTTCGCAAGGGCTCTCAGTACTGGCAGACTTTTCACCGACGGTCGCCGCCTCACTGGCCTCATGTTGTACCCTTTGGTGCTTTGCAGGAGGTGCAAGCAACACTTCATCTGCAGGTCTCTTCTCGCCGTTGCTTTGTTCCAGTTTTGTGCAATAGCCATTCTTTATGTCTGCAGTGATGTCACTTCGCGAAGCTCCAAATTCAATTGCCTCAGAACGCTGCACTTGGCAATTCAGATCAAACGAAGACCCTCAAGGCAAATCCAACAACATGAACATTCCAACACTTTGAGATACTTTGAGAATGCCTCGGCGACTGTTTTAGCCAGCTTGTACCGCTCATAGCGTTCGTGCGCCTTCAGCGTTGGTGCTGGGAAAGGGGCTAGGAATTACATTGCACTATCTCAACGAACTCATCAAAATTCATCAATATTGATATTTTCTATGAGTGACTAGGTGCGTCTCACCTTGGTCCCTGCACGCTTGGGATTCTCAGCACAGAAGCTGATCTGCGTGCCATCCGGAAGCTTGGGCGGCATTCCTAAAGCTGTTGCGTCTCGCTTCCTGACGATTCCTTCTCATATGTTCTTGTCTGGAGGAGGGAAGCTTTGGACATCTCCAGAACCATCTAGAGACTGTTTTGCACACTTAGACTATCGCTTGGTTCTGGCTGGAGGTTCAGACTGGTGATTAGAGCGAAAACATGCTGAGGACTCGACAAAGCAGGAATCTGCAAATTGAACACGTATGAGCATATGTCGTTTTTCCATGTGTTTCCTTTCCAAGCCTGTGTGCGTGCGCATGTGAGGTAAGTGCAAGCATCCATTGACCAGCTTCAATGCTCATTTTCCCCTTCTCTGCACAAACTTCGGACGAATGCCGAAGAGCTCACCAAAGCTGCACATACATGCAAATCTCTGGGTGCAAACTTTCATAAATCCTACATCCTAGGAAAAAATCTGCACAGAATTCTAATTCTGTTGGAGCTTCACACGAGCTCACCATGTTCTTCCCCTAATTAGGAAGGTGACTCCAAGAGGCCAGACCTTCGCATGATGGAAACCACTGGAATCGCAAAGGGCCAAGTGACCTCAAAGGGAAGGGGAGAAGTCACACCTAGGGATTGGCTCAAATACACTTCCAATTCAACTAGCTCATTCTAACTGTTTTGATCTCCATCAGCAATTATCTCTGTTTGCACACGCTCTGTGGAATCGGATCCAAAAGCATCCTATCGGATTCCTATGGTCTTGTCGCAGCCAAGCTGTGAGTGGCAAAGCTCTGAGCTCTGAGTTTGCAGCCCACAGTGTTAGGAAGAAGTAGTATGCAGGACTCTTGAGCCGCTCCTACGGTCAACATTAACAACTTATTCTCCTTCTCTGCTTCTGCTTAAGATTGCCTCTGATCTTCTCTGACACAGTCCATCACAGTCCTCCCAATATTCAGAGGCCCATGATCTGAAAGCTCGTTCCTCAAGGAACGTCACATGGTAGGATTTTCGTGAAGTCCATACTTCTTCTCAACAAGTATGTCTCCTGGGTAGAGAGGTTCAGGTTCAAGGGCCTCCGCCTACCAGAACTCACTGATCTGGTCATGTCCTTGGACTGCAAATTTGGAGATTCAACTGACTCAGTTGATCCTTCGGAACAGCTCTTTGCAAAAAGAACCAATGACATTGGTCCTTGGGAAGATTGAAATTGTCCTCCCACACCTTGCCATGCACACTGTGGATGGCTACAATTACTGAAAGAAACATCGACAAATTTCAACAACAGGTGCAAAACTCTTCGTTGCACACCTTGTGAAACTCTTCATTTCGCTGATCTGGCAAGTCCACATTCATCACCTGAGATGCTTCTTTTTCACAACAGCGCTCCCTTGCGATTCTTGTGCTCTGTTCGCTTCAATGTTTACGTGCCCCTCTTCACAAGGCCAACATGTTGGCTACATCAGCGACATCTTAGAGAATGACATCCATGATGAACTGCGCTTGGGCCTCACAATCTTTCTCAAACATTGCTCATAGAATGGTAAGAAATCCAGGAAGGGCGCTTCAGGAGCAGCCCGTGAGGGCTCATATGTCAAATCCAAAAACGATACCAAGTTAAGCTTCAAATGGCTAAATGGTAGCGCCTTTCGGTCTCTGCTGACTGTGGCACGGCTGACTTCTTGTAGCACATTCATGGCCTCACGATCAAGAGCAGCTCAGCTCAATGTAATGATGAAGCCACAAGAAAATAGGTGGCCGGAACAAACAAGGTTTGAACAAGATGTAACGGCATTCTCTGTGCCGTGTTGAATTCGCCTGGCTTGGCCGTGGTGTCTATATATATATATATCAACTTAATGTCAACCAGATCTGTGCATACCTGATCTGTCAGTTCCATCGCTCTGATTCAACATACCCACGAGCTCCAGTAATAACAGTCGCTCCTAAATGTTAAATGATGCGCTTTCTTGCTGCAATATCTAGCTTGTCGGTTGTCGTTCCTTTCCCTAGGGTTTACAAGGTGTGTGTGCTCACATTACAAGCGCAAGAGGATCATGTTTAGCAATTGGTTTCACAGAAGTACCTGAAAACATTGCATCCAAACTACTATGAACTGTATATCACCCAGATTGGGTTTTATCCAACAGGTGCATTGAGAACACCCTTTACTTGTGAAACTTGCAACACTGATAAAACAAATTAGAAAGACTGTAGTGACTGCTCTCAATGGCACCAAAGAAGAATTGCACCTCGTCCTTCCTGCCGACTTTTTGGAGGCATATTGCTATGTACATCTCAGCCTCCTGTCGATGTCAAGTTGGGCACATTTCTGATGCTAATGAAATGATAGATAGACATTTGATGATTCGATCTTGAACGTTAATTCTAAGATGTGTTTTTCAATATTTTGCGGAAGGGTCCTCCATGAGCTTCTCTCCAGCAACACGCGTTTGAGCGACATCCTTCCAAAGAATAGAACCGTGGCTTCGAACAACGTAGCTCTGGACAGCAAAACCCCCCGCAATGTTCTCCTTCCGGACAAACATCGTTTTTAATTATGATGAAGACTCAAAGCATGCCAGCGACACACGCACCAGTAAGAGAAGATCCAAACATTCTTGGTAACGATAGGCCTGGCCCATCACTGGCAAAATTGGCTTAAGAGAAGCAACATCTATGTGTCCTGCAGTTCTCGGTGCATGCCGCGTATGGCCTCTTGAAGCTTCAGGGCAAGTGTTATCGCCACCTTTACCCAACCGGCCTGCAACCATAGAAGCGCACAATTGAACAAAATCATTAAGCTGGAGTGAAACATATTATGTTGGTTGATTTTTGTGATCGGTCAGCTTGCAGTTGAACTGCAATAGCTTTCTCTTGCTGAGGTAGCTATCTTGATGCGGGGGCCACATGTCTTTTTAAAGCTCTGCGGGCTCATAGATTGTAACACACCCGGATGGCCCGAATACCTAATCCTGTTGCAATTCAAAAAAACCTCAACAACTGTCCAAGTGAAGTATTGGATAGTGTAAGTATCTTAATTGTAACATCATGTAACATCGAAGCAATGGCAATTCGCTTTGCCTGGGCTCTTCTTCGCACGGCTGGGTCAGCAACCCGCATCCTTCGTGTCACAGGCGAAACGGCAAATCCCAGGGACACAGGATTTGTGGATTTGCAACGGATGCCACCTAAGCCTTACACAAACCTAAGAAATACTGCCTCAAACCTAATAGCGATGACCTCCAACCTAGCACAGTCAAGGCCTCAGAATATCATAGGTGTTGAAGGCCAATGTCAGCCTGTAAGGTTGTTTTTCAAATCTTGTGCCAGCAAAGACAGCACAAATTGCACAAGAAATGCGACCAGTGACACTGCACAAGCTGTACGACAAGCACTCTGCCAGCTGACCCTTCTTTGATATCTGTTGCTAGAGCACATGCAAATTCCAATTCACGTGGGTTCTAGTCAGTTCAATGCTCTGGCAGGGTGGAACATGCAATACTTATACAAAGCACTCAGCTGACGCTTTCCCCTTCAAGGGCCATAGTTCAAGTTCGGAAGGCCTCCCAGAGCGTGCATAAACTCCAGCAAGTCTTTCACACGCCTGGCGTTGTTGCGCTTGAACAAAAACAAAGGCTGAGAACTAAAAATAGCACTTGCCCAAATGATCCCAAATGGCAATCCAGCCCGAAGCCAAGCTTTTATCCTGGAGCGAATGTTCACCATCCTTCCACCAACCACATGCCATTCGCAGTCACAGCCGCGAGGAAAACACAATGGCATTCATAGCCAGCCATTGTGGGAGACATGACTGATACGTCACAGCAGGAGACACTGCAGCAGCGAGACACAGCTGTTTTGCAGTTACAAATCCATCTACAAGCCATCAGTGGCAGCAATGCAACCTGAAAGACTCGGTTGGCAGCCAATCGAAACGGATCGTTTTTGTAGTTGTGAGAATTGTGAATCCCTACATCCCTACAGCTTCAAGCTTTTGCACAATGTTCTTCCAGCATCGTTTGTCTCCCAAAGCATGCTAGGCCCTTGTGTTTGGCGTCGGTTCTCCTCCAATCTTTAAGTTAAAGCTTTGTCGTTTCGATTGCTGTTCGGTATTTACCAACATGAACACCTCAACTTGGTCTCTCTTGTTGGTAGCGTTCACCTGCTTCTTGTCCTAGTAGTATGGCCAGGAGCCCCTAGTAGCTTCTTGTTCCTAGTGGTACGGCCAGGAGCCCCTAGTAGCGTCCTTGCTCCTAGTAGCGATGTGTCTGTTGTTGCTGCTTGAATAAGTGCAATCATTATAAACATAGCAATCCAGGTCAGGCTCAAGATAGATCAGATGATACCTTGAGGATGGCGACTGTATTGAAACACATCCCTGGATGCAACAGTCGTTCTGAACAGTTCGGTGTAGAGGCTAGCCATGAGCGTGAGTCAATTGCAGGCGAACCTCAATTTGTTTGTAGACCTAAATAACTTGGCCAATCGTGTAAGTTGACAACCCGCAATGTGCGGATCTTCACGCCTCATCGTCATATTCCTGAGCAACTTTGTAGTCCAGCTTGCGCTCCATTTGCTCCTCGAACACGCAGTTCTGCTTGTTATGGCTCTTGTTCAGGACAGTCCTGCCTTGCTAATTCTATCGCTCACCATCTCCAACAGCTCTCCAGCCTGAGCTCAAACCCAATGTGGGAAGCTTGACAGAACTAGGCAAACCCAGCCCCGGTCATTCTCCTGTGCTGTTCTGGCCTTACTGAAATCCTGAGCAGCTTCAAACTCAATAGCAGCATCTAGCAGCTGCCTCGATGTTGCTACCCCTCCAGCTCCTGCAATCAGGTGAAACTGGAGGACTGAAAGCGAGCTGAGGTGCTTTCCACATCGTTCCTCTCCAGCGCGAAAAAAAAGAGAGGCAGCTACCGTCAGCTGTCCAGAAAGTTCAGTCTCGGCCACGGCTCGGGCATCATCGCTGACTTCGAGCGGCCCTGCCAAGCTTTTCTCGACCCAAACAGAGGAAACAGTTCAGGCTGAGAGTGTGGGCATAAGTCTAGGGAAAAGACCGTCAGCTTTTCTTCTTCCCCTTTGCAAACACAGATACGAACCGTCGCAGCGTTCCTTGGTTCGTCTAGGGCGCGGGCACTCTGGCGGTCCTTTCAAACGCCCATTCTTCCTCAGTGTGCGCCGTTCATTTGCGTGTACTGTTTGGGAATGCCGCTGGCATAACACTCTGAACCTGCGGGAGCTGGGGTCTTGCTGGACCCCTAAAGACCGTAGAATGGACAGTTGGCTGCCTTGAGATGTGCGAAGACCAGTTTTGTTTACAAAACGGATTCTCGTCCATACACCAACCATGCCCTTCCAGTCAGATCCGTGACGTTCACATATAAACGAGTTATACGATGTCGCAAGATTTGCAAGAGGGTAGGATTCGGGCTGCATTTTGTGAGACCCAAGCGCATCCAATAACGGCGAATGAACCGATGCTGTGCACCATGTTTTCACATTAGAGAGGCAGCTGATGTTTAAACTTGAGGCCAGAGGGGGTGAACGAAAGCTAGCCGGGCTTCCGGTGGTCTGCTGCTGGTGCTGCTGCTGGTGCTGCTGCTGCCGCTGCTGCGCTGGGCGCTGCTGCGCTGGGTGCTCTGCAGGCGCCGGGTCGTCTGCTGCTGCTGCTGCTGCTGGCGCTGGGTGGTCTGCTGCGGCTGCTGCTGCCGCGGCGTTGGGTATGCTGCTGCTGCTGCTGCCGCCGCTGGGTGGTCTGCTGCTGCTGCTGGTGCTGCTGCTGCTGCTGCCGCTGCTGCGCTGGGCGCTGCAGATGCTTGGTGTGCTGCAGCTGCTTGGTGGTCCCGCTCACCGCGCGCAGGGGGGAGTCGAACCGCGGGGGGGGGGGGGGGTCCATAAGATTGATTTAATCAATTATTTGAGGTTTCTGAGGTGCGTCCACCCCGTCACTTAACTTGCTAAAGCAAGAGCAACTCCAGCTAGCTAAGGCTAGCTTTCGTGAAAAGCTGTTTGAGCCTCAGTTCAAGGACGAACCCCCTAGGGCAATTTTGAGGCAGGTCCCAAACTGTTCACTAAACAGAGTTAATCCACTATATAGCCATAACCTTCCAGTGCAACCAGTACCACACGCCAAGCCACAGGGCCCTCTCCGGACGGCGTTGAGCTGGACTCCTGTGACGGACGATCAAGGCACATCAGAGCCTGCCGCAGCTTGCCAAACCCTCATGGGCACCTCTGAGTCAGGGCTCCCGCTTCCGGCTTCTTCAGCTTGGCTCGCTTCTCGATCTCCACTTGGAGCCTTCCCATGTTTTGCTGTTGCCCCCACAGCTTTGCAATTTAGACAAAAGCGAGTTGCATGCGCTCCTTGAATCGGTTCTTTTTCCCCTTAAGAACCTGAGGCGCAAGGTTTCACACCATGTTACACGTCATATCTGAGCAAAGAGAGTATGAACATTCACAGGAACCAGTTGAACTATTCATGCTGTCATAAGCTGTCAACTTCTATCTTGCGCCGAACTTCCATGAGCCGAAGCTTTTTTCGCTCCTGGAGAAGCGGCCACAACTGCTTACATGGCAGGAGAAAACCAATGTTAGCTGCGTAAGCGACATGGAATGTAAATAATGTAAACTGCGAAGGGCTGTGAGGTTTCCTGCTCGGTCTTTTTCAGCTGTCGCAAACGATTGGCATTGCGCCCGATGTTGATTGCAGCATCGACTTTTCGGTCACCTACGGAGAAGTCCAAAGATCACGATAGATTGATAAACTTGAAGTCCGCTACTAGCAACAAGGGCCTTACTACTAGTAACAAGAAACTACTAGTAACAAGGTGCATCGCTACTAGTAGCAAGGACGCTACTAGTAACATTGTTTGGAAACAACCAATCCTGGCAATCTGAGGAGCCTGCCGTAAGGGAGTGCACGACGAACAATGCGGCGTCTCAGTTGAAGCACTATGGCAGAGGCACCAATGACACAAGACCTGACCATGAGCCAATAGAATGGCTTCAACTCATTTCCGATAAAAAAAAAAAGATAAAAAACAAAAAAAACACAAGAACTGCAAGCATACATGTGCCTCAAAGCACCTCTACTTTTGGAGGCATCGCGAAAAGTAGATGCCTTTCCAACTGGAACCTCGCAAAGTCAAACAAAACCTATACACTATTGACAGAATGGGACATTGAGTGTACACAACCTCTCTCTAGTGGTTTTTCTGGTGGATTCTGTTCCTCTGGATGACCTTCACAAAGGGATCTCTGCCCTGATTGATCTGCCTGTTCAATTGGTGTATGATCCTTTTGGAAGGTGTTGTGTGCATCCATTTAGCGGCATGTCCTTTCGACATCATTTCAATTTTGGTCTAATTATATAACACGGTGTCGTGATACTGTACTTTCGGTTGTAAGTGCCAAGGTGTCATTGGTGTCGTATAGGAGCTTTATATAAAGCTAGTATATACATCGGGCTAGTAGATTCACGGCGTTGTTTTCACTGCTTGCTGTCACTGAACTGATTGGCAAAATTTGCATATAACTATACAACTTAAAATCCAAACTTGTGGTTGAACCCTGTTCAGCTCTTCTGCGTGAATTGATCTTCCCTACTTAGGGCCAAACCTCAGCCAGGCTTCTTTCCTCAAACCTCGCCAAAGCCAAGAAATGTGATGGTTTCACGGTTTACATCATCAAAGCGGGAAAGTGAAAGTGTGGCCTCACAGTTGAAGCAAGGTAGCTGGACCTCTCACATTTGTGGCAAACCAGAGGTGGGACAAATTGCGAGTGGGTCAATGAGTCAACACCGAACATCCTGTGCCATTTTGGATGAAGCAAGGGCCTTGAGATCTTTTCGACCGATGGTACATGGCGGAAACTGGGAGAACACGGTGGGCACCACGCCTTGGCACTTGGACAGAGGCAGGCCTTCCACAAGCCTCGAGGCATTCAGAACTTCCACATTTGCGTAAACAATGAGTTGGCAATATGCCTGCATCATTCAACGCACCATGCAAAGTGATGTCTCTGATGTGTCCTACTACTTCTTGTCTTGTTTCTTTGGGTTGCAGTCGCTACAATATCGTGAACAACGTTGGTACATGTCAAATTTACCAGGAATGCTTGAGTTCGTGCTCATGTGCTCTCTTGAACTGCACATTGCATAAGGGCCACAAAAGCAGCCCTCATTGAAAGGCCCACTCACACAATCTAATAACGCAGCTCTTATCAAGCTCAGCTGTTTGGTGCTGTTTGATGCATCGAGGCAAAACCTGTAATCGACAATGGACGTTTTATCCAAGCGATCAATAGCAAGGCGCAATAGCAAGGCGCAGCGGCTATGGTGACAAACTGGTCAGCAAGCTTGCTCTCACGCATCCAATGCTCAATTATCACTTGGCCTGCAGCAATGTGACTTTGTTTTGCATACCAATGCTACAAACCGCTCTGCCTTTTGCCTCGCTCTACCCTTGGGCTTTGCAAAATCACTCCTGAACCACGGGAGGCCGTGAACAGGAGAAGCTTCGGAATCCAGGGCATGCAGTCGTGCGGACATCTAACAATTAATGACAGTAACAAGGGCATCGCGATTAGCAACAGGGGCATTACTACTGACAAGCTAGAAGCTACTAGTAACAAGGGTATTGCAAAATAACAGTAATTAATGACAGCTGGCCTTGGTGTGACTGTGCAATTGAAAACCATTCTGGACGTGGCTTCTGTAGCCTTCCGACCAACAAGCGGCAATGACAGGGCTATGTCACATAGGAATTCAATCAATATCTTCCATACATGTGAAACTTCATACTTCATAAAGATTCAAGTAATTGGGCCTTCCGATCCAGTGCAAAAAAGCCACATCGCTCAAACTGGACCTCGCTCGAAGACTCAGGGGCTCTCAGGAAGCATCAAAGCGTTTGATAACAGAAACATGAAACAATGCAGTATATACAATAGCACACATAATGTGTGCGTCACACCTACATTGAGTCTTGGATTGGTTGAACAATGTATAACAATGTTGAACTCTCACTTGGGTAATCTTGGGTAACTAGTGGCGTTGTTGGTCACAAGCTTGGTGCCCATCAATGTATATTATAGTTCTGACCGTTTTGTTCTTCAACCAAAAAAGTAAAACCTACATTCACTGTCACTGTACCGAACACGCCAACTGCAATGCGGTCAGGATGCTCTGAAGATTGGATCCTCAGACTCCTCCTGTAATTAAGCACAAAATGAACCAAAAAGGTAAGAACTACCAGTAGCATCCTTGCTTCTAGTAGCGATGCCCTTGTTACTAGTAGCGATGCCAGGAGCTACTAGTAGCGTCCTTGCTCCTAGTAGCGATGCCCTTTGTTGCTAGTAGCTTCTTGTTCCTTGTAGTAAGGCCAGGAGCTACTAGTAGCGTCCTTTTAAAAAGCTGAGACGAATTGCAACGTTGGCCTGGTGTTTTTTCCACATCGCTGAAATGCTGGGCTCACATCGGGCACCTGCAGCCAAACAATGACCGACAACGCGAAGCGTGAATTCTACGGAGTGTTTTTTCAAGCTTTCACGAAGCAAAGAAAAGCTCAGCTGTGAGCTGGTCAGCTCTTTGCAGGAGTCTCCCGAGAGCGCATCAAGAAAGTCACCTGCTTCCTCGCCCGAAGCATTGGAAAAGCATCGAGAAGTTGGAAACGCATTTGAAAAGTCCTCCGGCCGCGCATCGGAGAAGAGATTGTCATACATCCGCACAGTGACAGGTGCTGACCTGAGTTGCACCAAAATCACACAAACCACTCTTGAAAGAATCAATGATTCATGGACGAGGCCACCACTGTGTAGCATGAGCCCAGTGGATCACCGCCACTTTCTTCGGCGGCCTTTAGGCAGCGAGACTAGAGACGAAAAACATTCTCCAGCAACGAGTCCAGCCAAAGCCGTACCTCTTCCCCAAAGACTCCGGGTCGTAAGAGCAGCGAAGCTCCTTGATGTCTCCATCGGAACCTCGAATGACCTTTGCCAAAAAGAAACAAAACAAACACCCTCCAACCTAGTAGCCTCTTGTTAACCGTACTAGTAGTAATGGCCTTCACCCTAATAGCGATGGCCTCCAACCTAGTAGCTTCTTGTTACTAAGAAGCTTCAAAGACCACACGAATGGAGGAAACAAAGAAGAAAGTGCTGCAACACGCATGCCTCGTCACAAGTGATCACATAGCTGTAGCGGAGCTTCACCTGCCAACACATTTTTGTGCAGAAAAGCATCGGGTGACAAAACGCCACGCAAAAAAGATCTGAAGTTGAGTCCTGCCTTTCTTCCTGGTGCAAGTCGCTTAAAGTTCGGTTCTGGGTCTTCTTGGAAGTCCTTGTAAGCTGAAGCAAGCCTATCCCTACTCAAGCTCAAGGCATCTGTTGACATTCCTTTGCCCCTGTCCTCTGCATCCAACAGAATCTCCTGCAATCACTTGTTCAATTGGTAACCTTCTTGTCTGTCAAAGGGACGCCAAACCTTGCCAAAGTGCATCTGTCGGGCTTCATCACCTGGCACCTGGGAGATATTTAAAGGAAAGTGTGCTTGTTCTTTCCAAATTGATGTTTGTTCGCATCAAAACCAGCTCTTTGCTTTCTTGCAATTGTTTCTCGCTCTTTTGACTTGTTCTTCACTTTCGCCGGCTCACCTCCAGAAGCTCATCCTCAAGAACAACACTGTTACTCTGTACTGCCAGCTTTCAAACCATATTTCACGCGTGCCAGTCCTCACCAGACCAATTCGTTATGGTCACCTTGGAGTCATTTTACACCGGCACGAAATGCATGGATTGATACAATTAAAAATGCACAAGTGAATGTACATGCAAGAATCACAACTTCCCAAAAGAATTCGTTCGTACTTCTCACAAACGACACCAGGCTATGTTTGCCAAGGCCTTTGCGTGTTCGAGCTGGCTGGAAGCTTGTTGTTCGGTTTGTCTCCACTCTATTGGCGCTTTTCCCAAGGTTCACAGCAGAAATTGGTTTGAAAGATCTGTGGGACAAGCTGACTTCCTTAGATACATGCACACCCTTAGGTGCGTGCTTTTTCTTGCATCCGTAGCCAAAACAAACAATTATTCAGTATATATTGAGAATGAAAAGGTCCGCCCTAACCAAAGTCCTCTGAACTGCTAAAGGGTGAGAAGGAGGAGGCTTTCGAAAGCTAGATGCGAAAACTTTGCTTGAGAAGAAAACCTCAATCCTGAGCGAGAGCATATCATCAAAGGCTAGCAGCGAAAGGACATTCCGTTCACTGCATTTGACGTCAAATAATGATAGAACAAAGCAACAAAGCTACAAACAATGATTCACTAAAGGACTCCAAAATCGTGGAAACGAAGCTGAACACAGAAATAGAATGAAGAAGGGAGCGAAGATGTGCAGCATGTCCACCGTGTCCACAGTCCTTGTCTTGGCCTTTCAGGTTGAGCGGTGTTCCTCCCTCTTCTGCATCTTCATGCTTTGTCTGAACTAAGCCAGTTTAGCCTCTAGCTGATCCGGTGGCTTAGTACGATCAGTTCTTCTGGAAGCAACGTTCTTTGCATCTCTTATGGTTTCAGCGTTCTTTTAGCGAGGTTGGGGCAGGCTGAATGGAGAAGCAAAGTCAAGAACCTATCTGGTGGGTGTGTGTCCAGGTTGACCCCTCCAAACACTATGGCTTGGTCTTGACCTTTGCTTGGGCTGTTCTTCAGTCTCGACGACTTGAGATTGTGTGGAAGGTCAGCCCTTGACTAATGCTGACGTAGGAGGGTCAAATGAATGCTTGAGTGTCAAAGCAATGAAGGGGACAGCAACGTGGAGGCAAGAATCAACGACACTGGGGGGCCGCAAAAGAGACAATTGCTTCTAAGAATCTTGGCTGACGGCTGACCTACTTCTGAGCCGGCTTTCCGGATAGTTCAAGTAAATTGTTTTCCCCCAGCAAGAATTGATTGGCATGTTGCATCATCACAGCCAATGATGCAAGGCTTGCTTGGCCAAGTTCAAAGAAACGGTAAGTACCGCACAGGTAGAGGGCGAAGGACACACAGTGCTTTTGCCGCCACGGTCTCCTTGTGCATCAAATTCAATTCTGTGTGGATACTTGTTTGACATTTGCCTTACATTTCTGGGACTCATTCAGCTGCTTTCCTGTAATGCATCACGGACGCAATTCTCGAGGAGGCTCAACTCAATCACGCTGGTAGGAACCTGGAACACACAAAAACACATAGAGCTGCTTCTCTGTTGCGTGTGAGAAACAACTTGAGGGAATTGATCATAGAGGTTCACGCCATCACGCCACTCTTCTGCTCTAGGAATGAACAGTACTGACCAACATCTTGGATATCCCAATGCCTTGGTTACGCCGATGAGCTCACAGAGCTTGCGCAAAGCAGCAGGGGGATAGCCTCGCCGCCTGAATGGCACATCAATCATGTGAAACAGCCAAAGGAACTAGCAACTATAATGTCAACTAAACTATGTACTCACAGAAATTTCACAGATTCACATCCTGCTTGCATGGTGTTGTGGTCGCACAAGCAAGACATACAAAATCCCAAAACCCTGCCGCATGCCAGAGATGGTCGGCATCCGAGGATCATCCCAGCCATCAACGTATTCTCCCTGAGTTGAATCAACACTCCAAGCGAACTCAGAGACGGTTCAAAACATGCAAAATTCAATGAAAAACGTGCCTCCACCAACCTCCTGAAAAACCAAGTCGTCTTTGATTGATGAGTGCAAAACAAAAAACTGATGCAAATGGCTACACATCTGCAAACCCAATGGACTACTGACCACTGTATGTGCTTGCGCAACTGTTGCCAGCTCTGCAGTTAAGCGGCTTCAATTTCCGTTTCCTGGGCAGCCCCACCATCAATTCACATCAATCAAAGCATTAAACGAACGGGGCAATCGACAACTGACACGCTTCATCCTGTGCATTTTCCTGCCCAATTCCAGTCAACGTGTCGCTGCGTGCAAAAACATCAGAAAGCAGGGAGCAATGCCTCACGAGAAAGGAGCAAAAGGCAAACAATATATGCATATATATATATACAGTGTATACTTGTGACTGGAGGAGACGAAAGCAGGCCGCCGTAAAAGATATCAATGTGGTCAGGGGGGTGAATGCGAGATCCCTGGTGGGCTCCCCACCTCTTTTCCTATCACATCCTCCCCCGCTATGCCTGTCCTGCAAATGAACTCCCACTCCATATGCAGAATGCAGCGGGCAAGCTTTGAGTTGCTTGGGGGCGCCCTTTTTTATGGTGAAGAGGTCATCTCTTCCACATGAACTCCCACCCCATATCAGGGCCTTTTTGCGTGTGGTTGGCAGGCGTGCGTCTTGGCACCCACAATCCACAAGCGACTCCAAGGTTTCTTGCGCCTATCACGTCCTCCGCTATGCCTGTCTTCCACCTTCCCCACAGCATTCTGTTCCCTCTCTTGCCCTCACAGATCACACAGTGTCTTAAGAGACACACACGTCCTTTTCACCCCTAGTCGAACACAGTTTCAATCGCTCCCTTTTGTGGAGGAGTTCCAACCCTCCAGCAACCTGTTTCCACCACGTGCACAGCCAGCTCACAGCACCAGCGCCCGGCACCGGCGCCCGGCACCCTGTCTCCACCACATGCACAGCCAGCACCAGCGCCGGCACCCTGTCTCCACCACGTGCACAGCCAGCTCACAGCACCAGCACCGGCGCCTGGCGCCCAGCACCCAGTGACCAGCACCGGCACCCGGCACCCAGCACCAGCACCGCCAGCACCGGCACCCTGCACCCAGCACCAGCACCAGCACCAGGCACCAGCACCGGCACCAGCCCAGCGCCAGCACCAGCACCGGCACCCGGCACCAGCACCGGCACCCGGCACCAGCATGTCTCCACCACGTGCACAGCCAGCTCACAGCACAACTCATTGTTATTTGAAGTAAGAACCCCATAGCTTCGCTATCTGGGGAAAAACAAAATACCACAAAATATATCCATATCAGTGAGCGAGAGTGAGGCCACGAAAAGCCAACAAAAGCCAAAAGCCACCGAAAGCCAAAGCCACCAAAAGCCAAAAGCCACAAAAAAACGAAAAGCCACCGAAAGCCAACCTTCCTTCCTGCCCTCCTGCCTGCCTTCGTTCCATCCTGCCTCCCTTTCTTCCTGCCTTTCTTATCTTCCTTCTTTCCTTCCTTCCTTGCTTCCTTGCTTCTTGCTTCATCGCTTCCTCGCTTCGTTCCTACCTTCCTACCTTCCTTCCTTCCTTGCTCCCTTCCTTTCCTCCTTCCTTCCTTTCTTGCTTCCTTCCATTCTTCCATTCTTCCATTCTTCCATTCTTCCTTCCTTCCTTCCTTCCTTCCTTCGTTTCTATTTATGCTTGTTTGGTTGATGCATTTTCCCAAGCAATTTCTTGCTTGGGCTCTATCTTAGAAAAAAGAGCTGGCCGCACTGACTGGCCGCACCCCTGGATTCTGTGGCCGGGCTCTGTGGCCGGGTCTTGTCCTCCTCTGTCCTGCTCTTCTCTTGTCTCCTCTTGTGGCCGAACAAGTAGCGATGTCGATGCCGACAAAAATCATTGATTAAGCAATTTGCTCTTGGGGGGGGAAGGTAGGGCGTACCAAGAAATCGTTTTTGACTAATATTGGCCCCAACGAATGGTTTTGAAATTGTTTGGGGTCTATGCTGGTCGGTATAAGTGTTTTCTTTTTGATGCGTCTCCCGCTACTCTAACCAATTTTCTTTCCCCCAAGTCCCTTTAGAAGGTCCCTCTGACCTCGGGGAACTGCCCTCACTGAGCCGACACTCCGTGTTCACTTGACTTCACGCATATTTCTGCAATTGCAGTATTCATATAAAACCCTCAGTCGTAAGGAACTCTTGCAGCTAAGCATCGAAACGACGATATTCGTCATCTCCAGTCGGGCGAACTCGTGCTGCCTCCCACTGCGCTGTGCTCTGCTGTGCTTGGAATGCTGGTGGACGGCGCAATCCAGGTGCCTTGGAAGTGCGTCAGGTGGACGGCACAATGGCAAGGAGTCGTCGTCCAGACTGAGGACCTTTTCGTTAAACCTCAGAAGTCGACCACCACGAGCAGGGGAGAGAGAGAGAGTATATAAGAGACTTGACTTGATTGACTTGATTTGCTGGCCCAAGCAGTAAACCATGACAATCTCATTATATTCATTAGGTTGCGAATATATTTCTGGATTTTTTCGTTTTTTTTTTAAATTTTTTTGTTTTTCGTGTTTCGTGGCAGGTGCAGTACTTTGTGGACCTTGCAAAGCACATTTCGTGGCAGGTGCAGGACTTTGTGGGCCTTGGAGTGCAGAGGACTTTTTGTGGGCCTTGAAGTGCAGATTTCGTGGCAGGTGTAGTACTTTGTGGCCCTTGGAGTGCAGATTTTGTGGCAGGCGCAGGACTTTGTGGACCTTGAAGTGCAGATTTCGTGGCAGATGCAGGACTTTGTGGGTGTGGAA